AGCAGCAGCAGCAAACAAGCAGCAGCAGCAAACAAGCAGCAGCAGCAAACAAGCAGCAGCAGCAAACAAGCAGCAGCAGCAGCAGCAAACAAGCAGCAGCAGCAAACAAGCAGCAGCAAACAAGCAGCAGCAGCAAACAAGCAGCAGCAGCAAACAAGCAGCAGCAGCAAACAAGCAGCAGCAGCAAACAAGCAGCAGCAGCAAACAAACCAGCAGCAGCAGCAGCAGCAGCAGCAAACAAGCAGCAGCAGCAAACAAGCAGCAGCAAACAAGCAGCAGCAGCAAACAAGCAGCAGCAGCAGCAGCAAACAAGCAGCAGCAGCAGCAGCAGCAGCAGACAAGCAGCAGCAGCAGCAGCAGCATCCACATTATGAGGCTTGCGTGTATACATTGGTGTCTTGAAGCAGGTGTCCCAAAAGACCTTGTCAAACCACGCAGCAACAAGGACCTGTGACGGACACCCTCGCTTCAATACTCTTTCATGGGGTAACGTTGGTCAGGGATGATCATTTTCACAACAGGATCTCCCATTTGTCCTCTCTGGGAGTTGGACCCGCGGAGGGGGTGAAAGATCAAGCTTTAAGGAACCAACCTTATCCCACAAGATTAGAACTCAGCGAGCGCGCTAGCTTTCGTGACGCAAAACTTCAATGTGGACCTGCCAAACTCGTTGATCCCATCACTTGCCGGATGCTGGAGATCCGATGAAAAATCCCTGAAGCGCGCCCCAAATTGCGCACTATTGAGTCTTCTGTTTGTCAGATTTTCTCTATGATCGATGACCTGGAGTGATCTCGCCTCTTCCGTCTCGATGGTGATAGCTTCTGAATGAGCGCCTCAGGAATTGGGAATCCATCCAAGCTGATGCTAAACTTCTACAAGGAGCTACACGCTCGGTGTGGGACACGCTCCTCAACGAGAACAGCATTTGCTGGAGGTATGCGAACCACGCCCTTCGACCAAGCCAAGAAGCGTTTTGTCGGGATGCGGACTGCAGTGCAGCTACATGCCAAGGTCTTGTCATCAAAGATCTTCTGAGTCTCCCAAACAACCTTCATCTCTTCCTTTCCAACTCAACACCCTTAAACCGCAACTCTAAAGAAGAAATGCACGTGAGAAAGGTGTTTGATGTTCTGATTTCTCGTTGATGCATTACACAGTTGTGAGAAAAGGTCAGCCAGCAACCCTGTCCTTGGTATAACCATTGCTTTGAAAGCTGTCAATGTGCGGAATAACGTTGAAGGGCAAAGGATGAGCGAAAACCTGGCACACCCAACACCACGCCACCAGGCTCATTAGCCACGGCACCCTTTGATCAATGGCCATAGGCGGCTACAGGAGGCCGCTGAGCCTCATTTGGATGCTCCTTGCCATCTAAGGCCAACCGAGTCCCTTCTTCTAGCTCAGTCATTCCTTGTGCTCCAGCACCGCTCGCTGCCTCACCAAACAAAACAAAGAGTACGTCTTGCGTCGTGTTTTGAAACGCTACTCAACTCATCAGGTATTGTGTTGGAAACACACATCCCCTGCGGCCCCTGCCTGGTAGGTGGAGACAATGATCTTCTTCAGCTTGAAGGACTTGTGTAGCCTCAGCACAATCAAAATTCAGGGTTTACACCTTGTGGTGGACCAAAGGCCTTGAACAAAGATGGTTTCCGCACATATGAACCAATCAAAGAGGCCAAACTGGGCAGACTGCTTGGATTCTTATTTCAAAGCATGGCACGGCCACAGCGCCATGGCCGCAATGGCAGTAGTACAGTTTGGGTTCGCGATCAACAACTTGCCCTCCATAGCGGACCTGACAGCGATGTCACAGAGCGGCAACTCTTGCAAGTGCAGTGGCAAATGTTGACTAGATGTTGAGGAATTTATTTAGCCAAGGACTTGGATGTTCCACTTCTCTGCTCGAGTGCTCTAGCGCCTGTTGATTTCTGGCACCACGAGCCTCAGGACTGATTCTCAAAACTGCAAAGAGCCACCAGACAAAAGAGAAAAAGAATTGCTCGAGGCTTTAGATCAGATAAGATGCGGGACATCCTCGTGGTATCTAAAGGCGCTAGAGTTGTCGATAACCACAGTCTTGCCATTGGCCGTGATCTGTGGAGAAAACCTTGAGGTTGTCGCTTGCCGGAAACATCCCAACCAGTGGTTGAAAGCTGTTCAGAAATCTTGAGTTTTGCAGGGATCAGCCACATGTGTCATACATCTTCTGTTCAATTGCAAGTCTCTCTCTCTCTCTCTCTGTCTCCCTC